CACAGGGAAAGCCCGACACATGATTTCATCGAGGAATGCATGGAGGATCATGAGGGTTCTGTAGGTCTCCAAGTGATCGACTGGATCCATTGTACTATCAAAAGAGTCAATCGTGGGCATTTTGAACTTAGGAGGTAGAGGTTTGTCCCTGATAGAGGCAACAAATGGGGAGTTGGTAGTGGTAGATGGTTTATGCTGTATGTTCTGCATGACCTCTTGGAGTTAGAGCTTCATGGCTCGGAGTTCTGCGTCCCAGAGAGGAATGTTGTCACCACCGGAAGGCAGCGGGGGCTAGACGCTGCTAGCCTCTCCTTCAGGGGTTGGTGTCGGGATCGATGGATGTGGGCCCCAGGGTGGCAGGTACATACCTAGGGGAGAAGGTTGTAAGCCTTCCAAGTTGGGTGGATTAGGCTACTGGATAGTATGGCTCGGGGCTCATTCTTGGTTGGGTGGGATATCTGAAGGTGGTGGAGGAGGCATAAGAAGGTTTCTTTGGAGTAGAGCATTAATCAGGGCTTGGTTTTGCTCAGCCAGGCGGTTAATGCTGCTGGTGAGCTCGGTGAAATACTGTGGCGGGTTATTTGGATTGGGAGGGTCGGCTTGATGATCGTCGACATTGGGGTGAGAAGTCATGGATCTAGTTGTGACCATCCACCTTCACAGGTGGTAGGAGGGGGTTATGGGGAGAGGGTCTCCGGCGACGATGAGCACAACTAGCGCACGGAACAAAAACTTTCCCACAGACAGCGCCAACTGATAATACTGCGAGTTTCAGACGGAACGGGTCAGATTGATCCACGCTTCCCAAACCGGTGTTTAAGTGACCAAGCCCACAAAGGAACTTAAACAAGAGTTCAACGGGGAACGGGGAGTCCCCCAGCGAACCCTCCGACAAGCAAGTTAGAGAGAGAGGTGGAATGTAGAGATAGATTAGAGTTAGAAAGCTTAACCTTCTTCTTGTTTTCGACGTCTGCTTATATCCTCTGGTAATCATTTCGTTGTCCCTTCCAACTTGTCACCTTGGCCGAAAGTCTATGCTCTAGCTTACCTTGTTCATGGTGAAGGCGTTCTGTCCCAACGGAGAGGGATTATCGCAATAAATGCTGTAAGGGGCTTCATTAATGGCGATATGTAGTGGCAATAACTTTGCAAATCTTTATCAGCTTATGTAGTTTGCCCTTCTCTTGCCATGTGTCTTGATGTCATTGGTTCTTATTGCTACGTAGGGATGGCAATTTGAAACCGGCCCGACGGGGATCCCCGATCCCAACCCCGATTTAAAGAGGTGGAATGTAGAGATAGATTAGAGTTAGAAAGCTTAACCTTCTTCTTGTTTTCGACGTCTGCTTATATCCTCTGGTAATCATTTCGTTGTCCCTTCCAACTTGTCACCTTGGCCGAAAGTCTATGCTCTAGCTTACCTTGTTCATGGTGAAGGCGTTCTGTCCCGACGGAGAGGGATTATCGCAATAAATGCTGTAAGGAGCTTCATTAATGGCGATATGCAGTGGCAATAACTTTGCAAATCTTTATCAGCTTATGTAGCTTGCCCTTCTCTTGCCATGTGTCTTGATGTCATTGGTTCTTATTGATACGTGGGGCTTCAGCAATGCTGGGCTTTAGTATTTGAGTTATGTATTGGGCCCTAAATGGTGGGCTATAATCTTTATGGGCTTACCCATGTCAGTAGTCCCTCATTCCCAAGTGCAGCTTTAGTCCAATAAAGGAAATAATGAAGAAAACGAGGGTTGTGAGAGATCGGCAAGGTAAAGGCCGACCGAGAGGATTGACCGACCATAAGGAGGGCCGACCGCGAAGGATGGCCGAACGAAGGGACCGACCATGAAGAGGGCCGACCGCGAAGGGTGGCCGAGCGGTGGGACCGACCATGAGGAGGGCCGACCGCGAAGGGTGGCCGAGCGGTGGGACCGACCATGAGGAGGGCCGACCGCGAAGGGTGGCCGAGTGGAGGGACCAACCATGATCGCGAAGGGTGGCTGAGCGGAGGGACCGACCATATTTCATTTTTATGAAATTTTTATAAATGAAAATTATGTTTCGAAATCATTCAGTGTGTTTGGTTTGAGTTTTCTGAATTAAGTTTTTTGAAAATTGACTTTTTTGATTTTCGTATTTTTTTTGTTTTTAATGAATATTTTTAAAATTTTAAACATTTTTTTACTTTTTTAGATGCACCTTACTTAGATGTATCTAAAAAATAAAAAAAAATTGTGAAAAAATATTTTAAAAAATTAATAAATACATAAAAATACAAAAAATGTACTGAATTCTTGTATTTTTTGTATTTTTGGTATTTAGTGAATTTTTAAAAGATTTTTTTAACAATTTTTTCACTTTTTAGATGTATTTATCTTAGGTGTGTCTAAAAAGTAAAAAAATTACTTAAAATATTAAAAAAATTCAATAAAAACAAAAAATACAAAAAATAAGAAAATAAAATTTTTTGAAAAATAAAAGCAAGCAAGGTGATTCTTTCTCCGGATAAGAGTTCCATAAAATGCAGGAGATGACAACAGCCAATACGTCATCAACATGTGATGATGACAACAGCCAATACGTATACAATTTTGTAGGTAAGTAATCAAATTTTTTTAATTGATTTTATTTGGAGAGAAACTAAAACAAATCACAACAAATAGCATTTCAATTTCGATTCGTCCAAATTAATTAAATCAAATTGACCTGTTGCCTCTTGAACGGATACATGATGGTAAGTGGAGGGTTGTAAATTGATTTTTTTTAATCCATCTAGTTTTGAATGGATAGTGGATTTGAGGTTTCTTTGATCGCAATCGAACTGTCAAACCGTAAACATTTCCAATAATTTGTAAGATTTTATATTTTAATTTATTTAGATATTCTGTTTGTGTTGTCAATTAAAAAAATGATTTAAATATTCTGTTGTGTTTTCAATTTAAAAATCTTTTTATCAAATGGCATGTGTTAATATTTGATATTTTTATATGAAAAATATAAGGCTTAATTTTTATTTTTTTTTAAAAAAAATCAATTTAAATAGTTTTTAAATATAAAAAAAAAAGTAATGAAACAATTTTGATGATGCATGATTTTCTTATATGTGTTTATTATTAATATTTAACAATTTACTTGATAATCTTTTGGTTATGTGAGTTAGATTGTTATTTAAAAAAAAAAAAAGTTAATAAGTTATATTATGTTTAAAATTTATAAAAATTAAAACCACTAAACTGATTTACATCTATCCTCTAATTTATAACCGTCAATCTAACAAATGAATATAAATTAATTTTTTTCAATCTATTAATATCACATACGAATGACAGATTAAAAATTTAAGACAGTAATCACACAGCGAGCAGGCTGGTTAATAGCAGCCAGCCTCGTGGGCCACATAGGACAACGATATTTCATATTACATTATGTTTGGGTAGGTGTGTTTTAATATAAAATTATTTATTTATTTATTTGAAACTTTTTACACAGTGGTGGTGCATGAATAGAATACGCATCAATAAAAATATTGTCAGATTTGTAGTGTGATTGAAACTACAAAGAGTCTTATGTTGAATTGTTAAAAAAAAGAGTCTTATGTTGAATAAAAGAGAGAAATTTTGAAGAGATTTATATTCATCTACCGTTATATCTCAATTTTAATTTTTAAAAAAATTATTACTTGTGTGATGCCACTTGTAAAAAAATTTGCTACTAAATAATTATTCCTTAATTTCTTTATATTTTTGCAATAAAATTATTTATTTATTTGAAACTTTTTTACACGGTGCATGAATGAGAATATTTACAAACAAATGAGTATTGACATGTAGTGTCAGAGTATGGAGTCTCACACTGAATAAAGAAAGAAAAATTAAAAAACATTATATTCATTTACAATTGTATCTCAATTTTAGATTTAAAAAATTATTATACGTCCACACACGGTGCCACTTGTAAAAAGTTGTTACTAAATAATTACCCTTAATTTTTTTATTTTATATTTTTACAATAAAATATTCTCTATTTTTTGGTACTTTTTTACCAACACATAATTTTTATGATAATGATGTTAATAGTTTACTTCAAGAAGTGAAAATTCAAGTGTGAATTTTGTTACTTTATTTTTTTTATGATGAACTTTTTAAGACAATTATTAGCCAAAAGAAATTAAGGTATATTTAAATGTTTCCTAGCAATAGATGACACCATGTTCCCTTTTCTTTTCTTTTTTTTCATACGTATGCTAATCAGGTCTAAAAATTGGGCCCACTTTTTGAATCTATTGATGTATCATTAATCAATTAATTTTCCGACACATGAATGAATTTAAAAAATTAATCCAAAAATAGACATATATACATATACTTTTTCTCTTGATATAAACATTCTACCTGCCACGTTTGACTAAATGAGTTTTTAGGGTTGTTTGGAACCAATTTCTTTAATTGGGTTTTCTTAATCTTCAATTAATTTTTTAATATATTAAATTCACATATAAACTGATTTCCTATAACTTTTGTCCTCTAAATTTGCATTTAAGTTCATCTGACTTGATTTAATAAATCAATTTTTGAAGTCTTACACGACAATCACATTGAAACTTGAACAAAATTATAAAAATTTTACCATCACAAAATAAGAAGAGCCAAGTTAAGAACCCTAAATATTTTACAGATATTTCTATTAATATTTCTATTAAATGTCTCACATGAATATGACACTCACACCATGTGAGTCTCATATAACTCTCATACCCATGTGAGACATTTAGATAAAATATTAATAAAACATTTGAGTTCGCTTGCATTAAATAAAAATTACAACCATTAAAATGAAATTTCAGGTGAAGTACAAGATGCAAAATAAAACTTACCCATTAGAAAATGTAAAAAGGTGGGCACTTCCTTGTAAACAACACTTGATGAAAAAGCACAAAAACAAGAAACAATCACATAGGATGTCTCAAAGGCCAATACCCTAATGACATTGAAGCATAGATACAATTCACAGGAAAGTACAAGTGCTTGCATTATCTGAAAGTAATATAATTCATGCTTCCATGCTTCAATCTAAAACATATTATTAATAGCTGAGCATATAATTCATTGCTTCCATCTAACTAATCAAAAGAGAGAGTGTTGGAAACAAAATACTCATCCTAACCCACAACACAAAATAAGTTTTATGTACCAGAAAACAGGAGGAAAGAGGTTAACAAACAATTACTCCACAATTTTCACTGTAGACGTGGGGGGAAACAACAGACATACAAAAAGTAAATTTATGCAGATATGATCCTAACAAGTGGTCAGTATTTTTTAGTAATCTGATTCCTAGTGTGCTTCATGCAATTTTATGATTTCTTTCTATCTTTTTTTTTTCGCCAACAATTTCTGCATGTCATCATCAGCACTCAGCAGTCATATTTGTTGCAGCAACTTTGGGTCACACAAGGTTCGCCACCTGCACCATTCAAAACTGGATCAATGCGACAAAGCCATGTCAGCATATAGACCTACTGGAAATAGTTGGTTCACATCCACAATCCACCATCCTATCTGCTGTCGGGAAATGTGGCCTCATAATTCTGGGGTAGCTGCATGGTCATCAATGACATTTGTTTTATACATTTTCGGTGAAAAATGGGGAAACAAGAAAAAAAAAACAGAAGTGACATTTGTTTTACCATGAATGTTGCTGTGATCATCTTTCCAGCAAACCATCTTCCATGGAGAGCACGCTGCGCACTTATTGCAGATTGTGTATTTTCAAATCGCAAATATACAAACCCAGCACTATTCCTGTTTGCCAAATAAAGTGGTTAGCTCATGATATAAAACACATCTGTTTTCTAATTAAACAAGTGAATGAATCACAACCCTGCCCACGTTTCCAAAGATTGGCTGCCAAACTGAGATGCAAGGGTTCCATATAGAACTGCAAATGAACCAAGCTCGAGCTAGAATCTTGAGCTCAATAAACAAATGAGCAGAGCCCGAGTCCTGCAAAACTTAGTTCTGCTCGGCTCGTTTGCAGCCCTACTTTCAATGTCAAATTCAATTATAAATTATGAGCTAGACAAGAAACCAATTTTGAAAACCCAAGGATTCTCATCACTGGCGAAAAAATAAACCGTACAGATTCTTACTTGTCAACATATATATGTTTAAGTGCACCAAACTTTGAGCATTCATCTTGAACATCTTCTTTAATATCCAGATCGAACTCTGGCTCAGTCTGCGAAATATGATATGGTTTAAGCATGGCCAGTAACAGAAGAAAGAAAACAAATCTTGTTAAAAATTAAAAAAAAATAATAATAAAAAAAAAACTTTGCAAGCTAACCTCTAATTTTGGATCAAACATGTTCTTCAACAATAAACATTCACTTGGAATACCTATGGTATCAACAGAAGGAACATTTACAGGGGGAATTGAAAGACCTCCACCTGGCAATCCCGCAAGTGCAGGAACACAAGCCTGTACAAGAGGACTAACAAGGGAAGGAACCGCAGGTGCAGCACCAAGAATTGGTGCTGTTGGCAATGCAAGACCGGGGCTACTGACGACAGGTGTGCCTAGAGAACCAGCAACACTGGAAATGAAGGATGACATAAGATCAACCAGATTATTAATTTATAAAAGCAATTACATATTTGGCAAACCCAAACCTTGGAGCAGTGCCACTACGATCCAACTTCTGCATAAGGATAGCTCGAGAGCGTGCATTTAGAGCCTGCAAGTCATTCAAAATCAAAGAGTCAAGACTGACCCGGCATGCAAGATGCGTACTAAATCCTAACTTGTCATAAGTTTATGCAATTTGGACAAACACATAAATAAGGCAAGATCAACCAAAATATATAATAGAGGATATGAAAAGAAAACAAGATTAAACCATATCAAATCGTGATTGTGATTGGAAGAAATGAATGACACTGATCCATGACTACCGGCTCTTCACAAAGAAGCCAAGTTTTCTGAAGCACCATCTCACATGTAGCAAATGGTAACTGTGATCCACGCTTATCCCATGCCACCCCTTTTTGACACAGTGGTCAGAACATATATCAATTCCTCCCCTTTGTAACTACCCTCACCAAGCCTATTACAGATGACTCAATGATGATTGGTTTAATCGTATGCAAGTAAGCTCAATTACTATAACCAAAAACACTTTATTGTGTCCATGAGATTTATTTATTCAGAACTTCCAAATTTAAATGGTATACTGAAAAAAACTTCTAACAATCAAACACAAAAGATAACTACAGATTCTAAAAGTAAACAAGAAGCAAGCACAAATTCACTCCAGCAAATGCCAATAGCCTTTCCCCCCAAACTCATACATCTCTTTTTGGATCTTATTCTAACTAAGGAATGAATGAGATGATAACTCAGATGTCTTCGCAAATCCCAACAACAAATGTGTGGAGTGTTTACTACAAGTAACTGCAATTATGGGAGTACTATATTTCCCTCAACCATGGCCACAAATTTAAGGATGTGGCGGCAAACATTGAGATTTATAAACTATCAGCACGGTTTGGTTGCTATGAGTTTGGGGAGTTCTTATAGCAACCAGACTTCACAGACAGTCATTAAAAGTCTCAACGCATGCAACCTTGATTTTTTGGCAAAGGCGGGGAGACTATAGCACTACTTGACATATTCCATAATTGCAGTTCTTCAAATTTACAGATCTCAGTACCATTAAGATTTGTTGGGACATCCAAGTTATCATCCCACCATTCCCACTCATTTCCAAGTTACAGTAAGACCCATAGAAAAACACATGGCTTCGGGGAAATGAACTCTTTACAGTAAGACCCACAGAAAAACAAACGGGTTCAGGGTTAGCATTTGTTGAATTGAATTTGTGCTTGCTTGTTTGCTTTTAAAATCTATAGTCATTTAATTGTTAAAGTTTTTCAGTGCACTGTTTAAATTTGGAATTTTTGGATAACTAAGTTTTATGGACACAATAAATGGTTTTTGGACATAGAAGTTGGGTTTGCTTGCAACAATGAAAACTGGTCAACACATATGTAAGAGACTTTCATAGGCGGGTAGTTACAAGGGGTAGTTATGATCTTTAGAGTTGACTAGGAAGGAATCAACATGTTCTAACTATGAGCGAAAGGGATTTTAAAATTTGTTTCTTGATCAAAAACAAATAAACTGTGCGCATTACTGAGTTCCCCAGACCAAAAAAAAAATACTTGAAGGACTAAAACACGAGCAAATAAAAATAAGTTTATATAAAATATCAAATTCACTCTTTTTAAAAGAAACATAATTGCATTTCAAGAAACATGACTAACCAAACCACCGCCTTCATCATCATCAAAATCACCAGCATTTGCCCCAACATCTTGCATTCCAGCTTGATCAGTAATAGCTGACACCTGAACAGAAAGAGATAAAAAAGATAAAAGTGGATATCCAAAAAGAGAATTCCACATAACGATTTTTGGTAAAATCAACTATTTTGATGGAGTACCAAAAGATATGTAAGACCAATTTAATAGATTACGCAAGCAAATTAAGTAAGCTAAGTAAAAGCATTTGATTGAATGACTCTACTACATCCTATTCATATGGTCTATACCAACAATAATTAAAAAAACAACCAATATGATTAATTGCAAGCATGCCAGTTTCAATCAGAATTAGGGCACAACACTATTATTTACAAAGTAAAAAATGTATATGTAGCGTTTGGGATGATCTAAATAAGTATACTTTTTAACTTTTACGAAAAAATATGCAAAAAAGTAGAAAGGTCATGTGACCCAAAAAAGATTAAAAGATTAAAATAAAAATGCACTTTTGTAGATTATGCCAAATAGTGACAAACCAATTAAAAGTTAAAAAGTTTAACACTACTGATTGTTCCCCTATAAGTGAGTCCAGTTATATCTGAAATTACTCGAACAAGGCACTGCTTATTACCAGTGTGCAACTTTATATCCACAGTGGGCAAATAATTTACCTTAGTCTATTAAAATTTGTCTCTAGTGCATGTTCAAGACTTCTAGATAAAAGAACAACCTGAACTTCGAATACTACCTTGCTTCCACAACAAACAACCAAATTTCAATAGCTTCTAAAATTTTGAACCCCTGATACTAGATACAGGACACCAAATGAGGCATGAGATTTCAGACCATAAATGTATGCACAAACTTAGGCACATGAAAGAGAGAGAAATTTAAGTGCGGTCACCTTGATTATTCGACCAGCAATCTCCAGCTGTCCATTTAAACTCTGTGCAGCTCGAGCATCTTCAAGACGTGCAAACTGCAACAAACCATCTAACTTAACACTCTGCAACCTAAATTGGAATCTAGCAGAGCTTACGAGGTCACTACTAACGGTTTTAAAATAAAAATAAAAAATAAAAAAAGCAAATTTTATCACTGCAAATTGTTAAATCTCTGATTTCTCAGCAGTTTTCAACTCTAATTACAGCAGTTGGCAGTTTCCTTCTAAGGTAACCATCTAATGGTGTTTGTGCTGCTCTTGATCAGCGTAATTAACTAATAAATGCAACAACCCTTGCAGGTTGTTCCAGCAAGTTAAATTTATAGCCATACTGACCTGAACAAAACCAAAACCTTTGCAATGCCCAGTCTCTGGGTCACTCGGCAACTGCACCAGCTCCACAGTACCAAATGGTTCAAAAACCTGGATAATGAAAAATAAGAAAAATTCCTTTTTAGGCGGAAAAAAAAAAAAAGTAATCACAAAACTAAGTGACCTAGACCATCTTACGAGGATTGTATCCATAACCCTCCTTCTTACTAACAATGTCAATGATATAACTCTATGACAAAGAGTTCGTGATGAAAGTTTAAGATACACTATAAAAAAAAAAATTAAAAAAATGAAAAGATGCAAGTTTAAGAAACAAATGAAACATTAAACAATATGAATCTGAGATGGAGATACAAAAAGCAACATTGAACAATGAAATAAGGGTGTTGAGCTTAATTTTGGACTGCCATGTTCCAAACTCACCACACAAACCCCCCTCTGCACATCAAGCATAACCCCAAAATTTTTCTCTGTGGAATTTATGTACATCATTCAAAGCTCAATTCTTTGAAATAAAACTGCCAATTTGTAAGTTTTATTAGCAAAAAACTGAAAAGCCCATTTTAGGAACTGAATATTTCTACCTGACGAAGTTGATCTTCTTTTATGTTGAAATGCAGATTGCCAACATAAAGCCTTCTAGCTCCCCCCGAATAGGGGCCTATGAGCCCACCTACAGCCCCAGCTGTGACTGTAGTAGACTGAACCAGATTTTTTTCAGCTTCTGATGGTTTAACCATTACTGGCTGACCAAGTAGAGGCTGGCCAGAGAGTGCTATTGCCATAGGGACTGACATTGCATCAAAAAATTCAATATACCTGCAAAGAAGCTTCATTAGCATCTAGATGGTACTAAGAAGGAAAATGGACATTGATTAGAGAAAGAAAGTGAATACAATAATAAGATTAACAAATTTTACTGCACAGTCCAAACATATTTTTTTCCTTTTTTTGGGGGTGGGTGGGGAATATGTTATTAACCACACCATCAAACCCACTAACTTGCAGAGGATACAAGAAGCAATAAACAGAATGGACCATTATGACTTTATAGAATATACCGGTATACAATTTAATGAACTCGAATCCTACAAACAAACACTCTCTAATTGCTATTGGTCAAATATCTATTAATGCGTGGAAGCACTAGGGGAAGTAAACAACTTCCACTAACAAATAAAATATGAGACATCAAAGCAAATACCATCCCTCACAAAAGAAAAAAAAAATATCCTTCAGTTTCTTTCCACAATATTCACCCTCAACAATTTAAAATCACTAAAATAATACAAATCTATTAATAGCTACGCAATGTTTAAAAAATTTCTCCATTACCAAAACCAAATTTTAACCAATACAATTTCATGAAGCCCATCCCCAAAACCAAAAAAAAAACTTGGCAGGTTTACATTGTGTGGTGGAGGAGAGTGAAAGAGAAGGGCAGGGGGTTATCATCTATCTTACAAAGCTTTGGACTTACAAAGCTTTGGACTTGGCCTTGCTGCAATTTTGTTAGCCCATAATTACTTGTCAATTTAGCATGTAGACTTTTTCAATGTGACTAGCGTGCCTTTTGCTCTGTCATCTTCACTTGTTAGTAACAACCTTAATTGTTAAAAGAAGTTTAGACTTCTATCTTTGGCCTCATTACGAGATGACAAACCTCCACCCATGATAGAGTCATAGCATAATAAAAAATTAGATTGAGATAATTTTTTGGCTATGACAGGATGTTAGAATTTACCATACACTCACTCCACCTACCACCTCCACTATCCCTTCACCTACTACTATCTTCTCTTCTATATATAGGAGTTATATAGGAGTTGTAAAATATCACAACATCAATACATCAATCAATAATATATATATTTTTACACAGGAAAAATTAAACTTACCCAACTCCCTTGGAACGCCTTGAATTGCGATCCATTATAAGGCGTACATCTCGTACCTAGAATTGTAATTCAACAGTATTAGAAATACTCAACACAAATAATCAGTTCACCATCAAACGTAATGTACCATCACATATTACATTACAGCCCCACAGTGAGCAGCCCAAGAAGCACGAAACTTCTGCGGGCAGCAGCAAGTCAAGCATGCACAGAGTAAGTGGGTCTCCAATAGATGGCTTTGATTGCCTGCCAAAATCTTATAAATCGTACACTAAAGATAATAGAAAGTAAAATCAATGTGAAAGTTGATTCATTTTGGCCAGCTTCATTTACCTGTATAAAATAAAATAACAGATCTTCAAAGTTCAAACACAATAAAGACTAAGTAATACAATTTCATTTAGCACCCTTTTAACTTTTTTAAATAAAATATGGCAAGTTCCTATTTCTTGTATAAAAGTACAGTTAAAAAATTCCCAAATTTTGGATTTTATTTAGGTTTGCCCAAGACATAAAACATAATTGATACAGCAATAAAAAGTTCAGATAGCACATGATTAAATGAAGCCTGTAGGCAACCTTCTCATACCTTACAACTTCTAATCTATTATAGACTGAAATATAAAAAGTGATCATAGAATGACTTATATAAATGATAATAGTTCTGATAGCATACTTAATCTGAAATCAAAAGTCATGCAAGGACAACCAAAGAACAAGAATTAACCTTTCCGGCCCTCGAGAAGAAATCATACACATCTCTTTCATCAGCCTTCAAAGATATCTGTCAGAATTGTAGAAAAGTTATGTAAGTCAGTAAAGTGCAAGTAACAACCTAAGCAGAGCAACACAAAAGCAATTATGTAGCAATTTAAATACCTGATAAGCAAAAACCGTCCGCTGATCTCGTTCAGGATCAACCTCCGGCTCTGCTACTTCTTCCTTTTTCTCTTTATACCGTCTGCTAAAGAAAAAAATATCTAAAGTACTATCCCCAACGGTCCGACATGACCCTATAAACTGTCCCGACATTTGATTCCGGTTAGTTTTTTTCAACGGTCCGACATGACCCTATAAACTGTCCCGACATTTGATTCCGGTTAGTCTTTTTCAACGGTCCGACATGACCCTATAAACTGTCCCGACATTTGATTCCGGTTAGTCTTTTTCAACGGTCCGACATGACCCTATAAACTGTCCCGACATTTGATTCCGGTTAGTCTTTTTCAACGGTCCGACATGACCCTATAAACTGTCCCGACATTTGATTCCGGTTAGTCTTTTTCAACGGTCCGACATGACCCTATAAACTGTCCCGACCTTTGATTCCGGTTAGCATCTCCAGTGTCCTCTACACCGTTATGACACTGCCATCCAGTGTCCTCTACAACGTTATGGCACCACCTTTCAGTGTCTTCACCAACGGTCTGACACGACCATACAGTGTCTCCTATCTTTTTTTTATTTTTATGTATTTTCATGTTTTGTTCCTCTCTTCAAACTCAAGTTGGTTAGTTTCTATCCTCCTTGAGTTTGCGGGGGGCTGTTAGAATTTACCATACACTCACTCCACCTACCACCTCCACTATCCCTTCACCTACTACTATCTTCTCTTCTATATATAGGAGTTATATAGGAGTTGTAAAATATCACAACATCAATACATCAATCAATAATATATATATTTTTACACAGGAAAAATTAAACTTACCCAACTCCCTTGGAACGCCTTGAATTGCGATCCATTATAAGGCGTACATCTCGTACCTAGAATTGTAATTCAACAGTATTAGAAATACTCAACACAAATAATCAGTTCACCATCAAACGTAATGTACCATCACATATTACATTACAGCCCCACAGTGAGCAGCCCAAGAAGCACGAAACTTCTGCGGGCAGCAGCAAGTCAAGCATGCACAGAGTAAGTGGGTCTCCAATAGATGGCTTTGATTGCCTGCCAAAATCTTATAAATCGTACACTAAAGATAATAGAAAGTAAAATCAATGTGAAAGTTGATTCATTTTGGCCAGCTTCATTTACCTGTATAAAATAAAATAACAGATCTTCAAAGTTCAAACACAATAAAGACTAAGTAATACAATTTCATTTAGCACCCTTTTAACTTTTTTAAATAAAATATGGCAAGTTCCTATTTCTTGTATAAAAGTACAGTTAAAAAATTCCCAAATTTTGGATTTTATTTAGGTTTGCCCAAGACATAAAACATAATTGATACAGCAATAAAAAGTTCAGATAGCACATGATTAAATGAAGCCTGTAGGCAACCTTCTCATACCTTACAACTTCTAATCTATTATAGACTGAAATATAAAAAGTGATCATAGAATGACTTATATAAATGATAATAGTTCTGATAGCATACTTAATCTGAAATCAAAAGCCATGCAAGGACAACCAAAGAACAAGAATTAACCTTTCCGGCCCTCGAGAAGAAATCATACACATCTCTTTCATCAGCCTTCAAAGATATCTGTCAGAATTGTAGAAAAGTTATGTAAGTCAGTAAAGTGCAAGTAACAACCTAAGCAGAGCAACACAAAAGCAATTATGTAGCAATTTAAATACCTGATAAGCAAAAACCGTCCGCTGATCTCGTTCAGGATCAACCTCCGGCTCTGCTACTTCTTCCTTTTTCTCTTTATACCGTCTGCTAAAGAAAAAAATATCTAAAGTACTATCCCAACTTGACCCATAAATAACAATAAATCTGCTTCAGTTAAAGAAGGGTAAGTCAAAAGAGTGGAACAAACTAACAAACCATAACTACGGAAAATACATTTGCTCCTTGAAATAATTGAAGTACTTAAGCAGCAAAATTCTTGAGTTACTACGCAAAAGAGGAAAGAAAAAAAAAATGAAAAAGAAAAATGGGAAGAACAGAAAAGAACAATCCAAAAAGGGCAGCAAATTTTCTCCAGTATGTGTATAATGAATGGCCGAACCCATCTAACATAACCCTGCAGGGAAGTGCACCAAGTTAAAATGGTGGGACCAATGTATGCAGCTGTGAAACCATAAACATCTTCTATTAAATTTACTGAGAACCAACCTGGAAACAATTAAAAGAAATTGGAACATTGGGACCAAGTAGTGAACTATGTAATCCAACTTCAGGCAATGAATTAATAACAGATTTGTCCCCTTCTACAAACAACCTAATCTTCAATGGGAAGAACATCATGGGGTCATACAAATGGCACTGTTAAAGGAGATATTATTAGTTGAAAGCACACCAATGTGGAATCTGTTAAAATTTTGTATTCAATGAAAAGAGGCACTCTTAGCAAGCAATAAGAAGGCCAAAAATTGAACGTAGACATAAAAACCAAAAAGCCAACCATCACTTGATGTGTTTGACTTCTCACCAACCACCACCATAGTGATGTAAAATATCACAATATGAGCAGCTCCACTAAAACCAGAATATGTTTTGAGCAGCAAAAACAAAACATAAGAATCATCACTAAATGCATGGACTACATTTTGGACAAAAACCTATAACTTGAATAAAAATCTTACATCTAAAGAAACTACTGCAAGTCTGCAAAACTAAAAATTCAATTTTAAGTCCATTTAGTGATGTAATAACCAAAAGAAAAGAGAAAACCTGTACCAAAGTAATTGATGATCAAAATAAATTTGTTCAACTTTTGAGCTCTAGGGTGAGAAAGCAATGAGAGCATGAGATATGGTTAAAAAAGTAGAAATCCAAGATGAGGTTTAAAAGTTAGATATCCAAACCCGTAAAAATTTCATGTGGCAGAAAAGAATACATACCTATAAACTATAGAAAGAAGGTTATACCAGGCAAACAAAGAACGATAAGGAGAGGGGGAAAATATGCCATTTTCGGGCTGGGAAAGAAGGCCCACAAGAGTTCCTTCAAACAGATTTGCACTTGACTGCAACGTAGAAAAAAGACATGGTGCAACTTGAACCTATAAATGGTGCAACTTGAACTTAGCAAAAAGACATTCATTGGAGGCAACTATTGATTTCAAGATATCTTTCTATAACATGCAAGCAGACTATATTTCATGCAATCAGACAACATATTTATGATTCTAATACAAATCCTGTAAAAGAATTATGACCAATCATGCAGCCAAGTGAACAATGTTTTCCACAAGCATTGGAAGATGAAGTGCTTCTGTTAAGCAAAGCCCATCACTCCCTCACCAGCATTTCTGCAACAGAATAAATATAATTAAGCAACTAAGTTCAAAGGGGGAGGCTAATGAAAACCATAAATGATATCACCATTCACCACCCCAGTTAAGGCCTCCACTATTTTTTTTTTAAAAAAAAACCCAATCTTCCAATCTTGCAATGCAAGCTTCTAAAAGATTCCAGAGAGTCTAGAAAGGAACTTTTAAACCCATGACCTGAGTTCCTGAGCCTGGCTCAGTTGCCAGAATGACCATCCAAGGATTGCTTTAGCATATCTGCGAGTCCCCAGAATCTAACGTTCAATATTCAGAATTTTCAAGACTTAAAATAGCACAACTACCTAAATAGAACTTGAAAACTATTAGTGAGAAAATCATTTGGATAATAGCATAAAACCAGTTAAGAAAGTTAAATCTACAGCCAGAAAAGAAATGGATAAAAGAAGCTTCGCCATAGACAATGTGAATTATCTTCCTAAATTGGATATGCTTCCACATATCCAATGGATTTTTTTTGCCAATCAAACTAAACAAAGGGGATTGAGGTCAAATGGACACTAAATCTAATGGAGAAAAGTTTTGAATTCTTTTGAAATTTGTACCAGAGAAGAAAAGCAAAAACCCTGTCAAAAAACATCAAATTAGGGAAAGGGGCATGGACATTAGAAAATAAAACAAATTTAATCAAGCTTTATTGAAAGTGGCTCTGGACGTTTGCTTTGCAAAGGTAATTTTAGAAGTCTCCATTAGGAACTACTTAGCAACAATATCAACAAAACGTCAATGGATTTATCGATTTACTATTAATAGTCAAATGAACAATTATCCCATGATAAACTCCAACTAGAACGTAAAAGAACGGGCAAGAGTAGACCTAAAAACCACTTAAATTTCAAGTAACCTATATTTTAGCATCAAACATGGTAAAACTTCCTTAGGTAGTTGTAAATACAACATAACTGCGTTGCTAAAGAAACAATTAAGTGGAGTTGTGCCTTTTTTCTAAATTGAGCATTATTGATTGAAAAAAAAACTCATAAAAACCAAACAGATACTACAGTTCTCTTTTTTCTTTCGTTTCTCTATATTATTCACACTTTTTGGTGCTCTGAAATATGGTGAGAGCCATGAGGCATTTAACTGGAAAAACAAGAATCATCAGTTCTTTCAATAGGCAATGAGATTTGAACTGCTGACAGTGATCCCAAGTCAAAAAAATATAGATTATATGTCATACTATACACCACAAGTTCATAATGAGCAGCACATCAAATACAAAAACGAATACATGATATGGGAAGACATTAACAACATTGGGAACGTAATAACTCAAGGAGGTTACAATATTATGTAGACAGATGCCTCCATAATAGATCCACCCCCTTGAAAAAATAAAAATGTCTACCCCAACCAAACTTCTGTACCACTATACTACATGTGTCAATCAAGAAAACCAACACATTTTCCTTCATGACTCTACCCAATATACCCCTCCCAGACCCACATCAAATGGGGACCAAACTGGATGTATTATTTTATTTTTATTTTTTTGGTTATTGGCTTATCACAAGAAAATCAGAGTCCTTCTAGATGTGATTACAGAATTACATATCAAGCATGAATAAATTCTTCTTGGGTTATTGATACAAACTGCTCCTGTTTATTCCCTTGCTAGGAACTTAGAAATCTTAATGATGCCATAGAAATCATACAATAACATCGACATCCCAGATCTTTGAGACAATCATGCAAATAGTACCTCGGAAAAAAAGCTCATGACAAACAACTGCCTTCTATCACAATCAAGATTCTGAAAAGCGGTTGTGGTCACCGCAACGGTGGCGGTGGCACGGTTGCGGTTGTGGGGTGTAAAGGCCGTAACGTAACGGTTGCGGTAATCGGAACCGTGAATTTTTTAATTTTTCGCACAATTTCAAAAAAACTTACCGATACGCATATTTTTTTTCCATGATCATATTTATTGAGTTTAAAATAAATATTAATCAATTTTTGTAAATTTTTAAGTATGATCTAATATATTTCATATTTTTAAATCACTATAAACTGAGTTTTTTACATTTTATTTTAATAATTAATGACTTTATATTATACAAAAAATCAATCACTAACTATTATATATAAGATAAACAATGACAAAAGTAAGAGAATAAATAAAGAGCAATGGTAGAGGGTCCAAATTCTGTGGCTCAAATGGCCAAAACGACGTCATTTTGAGTACAAAACTGTGGCTCAAATGGCCAAAACGACGTCGTTTTGGCCATTTGAGCCACATTTGAGCCACAGAATTAGGGCCCCCAAACATTTTTCATAAATAAAAGCCTAAATATATATATATACATATTTTAACCAAGTCAAATAGATAATGACCACACTTCTTCTTCTTATTATTATTATTATTATTTTCAAACAATATATAGATAGACACACACAAACAAAATTATTAAGTGATAGCAACTGAATAAAATAGCATAGGTCTTACAGCTTCAAACAAATCAATAACATGTTCTTCATCTTCCCTCTTATCTCTCTCTATCTCTTGCTCCTCCATCTTCTCTCTTTATCTTCCCTCTTCTCTTTATCCCTCTTCCCCTATTTTCAACTTTTTTTGTATGTTTTTTCAAAAGAAGCAGTTCGGACCTGTTACGTAACAGTGCGTAACAAGCCGTTACGACTGTTATGGCACCATTACAACCGCTACGGCCGACACACCTGTGAATCTCAATTACACTGCAAAAGCGGCCGTAACGAGTAACGGTAATCACCACAACCGTTACGTAACGGTTGCGGCCGCTTTTTAAATCTTGATCACAGTTTTTCACATAACAAACATAAAATTGTCAAATGAGTGCCAAATTCAACTAATTAATCACCCATATGACTCCATCCAAAATAGCATCTATAAACAGGAAATTTTCTACAGGTTACACATGTCTACACTCTGCAATAGAAGCCAATAGGGTAATTTGATGTTTACAAACTTGCAGTCAAAACATAAACATATACAATACCTGCTTTCTCGGTCACGTTCTCTATGTTCCCTCTCCCTTTCTTTTTCTCTATGCTCCCTATCCCGACTCATCTCTCTATCATGCTCATCCCGATGCCTTTCCGAATGGCTTTTACTTCGACGTGACCGTTCTCGCTCTCTATCTGTCTCTTTCTCATAGTCACGACCACGCTCTCTCCTATCCCTGTCGCGATCCCTGTCCCTGTCTCGATCTTGGTCCCTCTCTTTGTCTCTGTCTCGGTCACGGCTTCGGTCCTTCCCATTCCTCTCCCCCTTGTCCCTGTCTCTATGTTCTCGGCTACTTCTATGTCGGTCCCTATCACTCCTTTCTCCATCTCTTGGAGACGAGCGGTGCCGTGATGAGCCCCTCTCTGTGTCATGGTCACGATGTTGTTCTCCAGACTTTGAGCGCTTTCTCTGGTGATCCAAATCATCATCATTCTCATCACTTTTGTGCTTTGAACTCCGGCTCCATTCTCTCTCTTCAGATTTACGTGTTCCTTCCACACCATTCACATCTTCCTTCAGTTTCTCAGGATCCAGATTTTCCACCGTCTTCTCTAAGTAATCATATTCATCGAAATCCATTGAGCAATATTTGAATCAAACAACTCAGTCAAATAATTCTGGGGATGACCTTTTTTGCCACTGGGATCTGATAAATAAATATTAGTAATCCCATCAAAAGAGGGCATTAACACATGAAATTTAAAGCATACGTACATATAAACACACATTTGAAACCTGGATGCAACCTTTATTCACTTGAAATAGAGTGAAGGGGAGCTTCTCAGCGCAATAAAATCTTGTTTCAAATGGTCCCTTTATCTAATTTTCAGCAAGAATAAATTGCTAAACCCACAATAACTTTATCGAGTCCCTTACATTACCTACATTTGCGTATGCCCCAAATTTTTTTTGTATAATCCTTTCTTCCCTTTTCCTACCGAAGATAAATTACTGGGGAAAAAAATTTGTATATAAACGAAGATTCAACCTTTTCAAAAAACACAAAAAAGGAACTTAAACAGTATCAACTTCAATTGCAATGTCAAATTAACCACACTAGTAATTGACAAGCAACGAAACAATATTGCTTCTAGAACACCAAAACAATATAAAAAATAAAAAAAAATAACAACAATAATCATAATAATAAAAGATGCTTCCAATTCAAACCCTAATTTAAAAGCCGAAAACCTTAGAACATGAAATGCTGGAAAAACAAAGGAAAGTTAGGGCTTTCAGAGAGAGTCTCTCAAGTTTACCTCTGAGAGAGTATAACAGTGAAACGTCGATCGAATAAGAGTGTGTTAGCCGATACTCTCTTCTGAAGCTGTTGAACCCTTTTTCCTCCCTAGGGCAAATACTGCTAGAGTTCGAAAAATTTGTGGTCCGCTCCATTTATAGTAGATCGGTTGCCGGGTAAAGTATGCCCGGGTTCGGATCTGAATTTGGATTTAAGGGTTTTTTTTTTTTTTTCAAATGAAAATATATTTCGGCATCTCTAACGTTGAATCAAATTTTTTATCAAATTTTAATACCATTTACTCTACTACTAAAATTATAATTTTCATCTTTGTTTTTTACATTCCCTATTGGCTGAGTGGATACTCTGAAGGTCGATCGGCCGTGAATAAAAAAATTATCAAAGTTGCTCTTGAGTGGACATTTAAGACGATATACGGCACAACAGTAACAATTTAAATTTTATAAAAAGATGAAAGGTTCTCTTTATTTGATAAAAGTTTTGATTCATCCCTCATTTTATATGAGTTTGATAAAAGGATTATATAGCGATCCCGGGTTTACCCTTATTATACAGTGATCCGGACATGTATTCGTGGATATTGGTAGTTGTTTATTATCTTGTTTACACCCTTTTTACTTAGTATTTGAGTTATGGGATGTGTTGGGTAGGTTTGTTACAGGATGGTTGAGTTTAGAAACCAAAACTAGTTGCCCAGATTTTGACATGTCCGCTCGAGCGGGGGTTTTGGCGCTCGAGCGGGAATTGCACCCATCCAGTATTTTTCTGTGCAGTGTTGGACGCTCGAGCGTGGGATTGGCCGCTCGAGCGGGGTTGTGTGAGTGACGCTCGAGCGGGGAGTTGGAAGCTCGAGTGGAGACCTGGTTCTGTAAAAGTTCTGGGAGTGTGTATTCGCCGCTCGAGCGGGATTGTTGGCGCTCGAGCGGGAGTCTGTGAGTGACGCTCGAGTGGGGTGTTTGACGCTCGAGCGGGGCGACTGGGTTTAAGTTCCGAGTTTTGACTTTTCAAATCACTTTTTCACTTTCTCTTCTCTCTCCTACTTTTCCAAAAACACCATTGGTGAGCCTCTCTCTCTAGATACTACCTTCTCTCTAGGTTTTGATCTAGTATGAGTGATTTGCTCATCTTTGGCCTTTACAAAAAGGTTGTTGATCGTCGAGGGCTACATTTTAATCTGAAAATTTCGAGTTTTGGAGCACGTTGGGTTTTGTCATCTTCTCCTTTGAGGCTCCGAATTTGAGATAGGGATATCCTATTCCTCTCTATAGATTTTGTCTTTAAATTTTGGTATTTTGAGATGTTGGGGTTGGTTTGGTAATTTTGTGAAAGTTTGGGGCTCTTGTGTCATTTTTTACAAAAGTTGGAGTTTTATTTATAATAAACCTAAAAGCATGTTTGTCGTAGAGAAGTGAAATAAATGTTGAATCATTCATGAAAATGGGACCTAAGGGTTGAAATGGTAATTATGGAAAATGACCTAATTACACCGTTTGATTAATTGGGAAAATTAATTGTGAGAAATGAGGAAATGAAGTGAAAATGTAGAGATTGGGAAAGTATGGGGTTAAAGGGTATAGTTGAATTATTTATTACTCACCGAAATGAAATGTTGATTAAATATCCATTTGTGCATTTATTTTCTGTTTAGAAATAACTGCTTTGGGCTATCGGTGGAGGATAGTCGTGATTGTTGTAGACAATGCATGATGATTAGGCAAACCGAAACTAATCACTCGAATGTGTCATTGAGATTGACGATTGAAAGAATACATTAAATTTATGTATTGTGTGATGATGTGTATAATTGTTGTTTGTATGCATTGTGTTGTGTTAGAGGAGATAGGGGATGTACTCCACGGTTTAGGGGAAGATAGGGGATGGACCTCTAAACCGGATGTGTTGGGAGGAGATAGGGGATGGACTCCATAGATAGAGCTCATATGCTTATCTATTATTGTGTTGACAGAGCTCATATGCTTGTCATTGAAAGTGTGATAGTGCTCATATGCATATCTGTGGAAGTGATGATATAGCTTGTATGCTTATCTGTTGTTGTGTGATATAGCTCGTATGCTTATCTAATATGATATGGGAAGTGTTTGATATGAGTTATTGTCTCATATGAGTTGTTTGGCCAGGTTCTGAGCCATGGTTGAAATTTGAGAATTGAAAGATATTGGAAAATGAGTTGCACTATGGACTTGTATGTCATGAAAATGTAAAGTGTGATAAAGGAAAGAATCAGTGTGGACCAACTATCAACTGCTAATCTTTTAGTCATTGTTCATATTTGGTTTAGTGTATTTCTACTGGGCTGTGGCTCACCCTATATGGGAACCTCATTTTCAGGTACAGGTAGCATGCCACCTCCAAGGACATAGCTTGGGAGGCTAGAGGCGGACATACTTTTGTCGTTTTACTTTTGATGTATTACATGTAAATTCAAGCCAAGGGCTTAAGGTGTAATGAGTTAGTACTCTTTTGTTGTAACCAAGTGTTAACTTGGAAAGCTGTAAGCCCGTAGGGCATTTTGCTTTTGTTGTTAACATGTAATACTTTTGTAATCAAACTCTGATGAATAGAAGAATGTGGTTATTTCATATGTTAATGAATGTCTTATTTGATGGGTTTAATGTTATTTTTTGAGGGCGTTACAGATTAAAACTGATATAGTTGTTGTTTTTCATCAAATTTAAATTTGATAAAATATTAGATGCAACGTTGTATATAGTCTATATATAAACAGATTTCTAATCTATTTTTTACTAGTAGATATAACAACAATTTTAGAAATCCACATTTTACACCCACAAATGCATCCACAATAATGTGGTAAGGGTGGTGGGTTCCATATCATTAAATGTTTAACCAATTAAAAACTGATACTTGTCAAATTACATCATTGGGTGAAACATTTATGAGTGTCTCAAACATTTTCCTATAGATAAATAATAGGAGAAATTACACTAAAAAATAAGCAAATAAATAATTCATAAGATTTGACTCTTGTAACAAAAGAAACCGTAACTAGGACATTTGGCTTAGTGGTTGTGTAACACTACACAACCATTTAGGGGATTCTATTGGCACAAAAAAAAAGTCATTAAGTACACTCAATTTCTTAATGCACCCTATTAAATTATTTAGAATCATTATTTATTCTCAATACACCTTATTATTTTTTTTCCAATACCCTTCAAGATATACCAAAATAACAAACAAACCAAAAATCATAAATTAAATCACTTAAAAAAGTACGGTGCCTCCTATGTCGATATCAATTAAATCCATTAATATTAATTATAGATATGGTAAATGGAGTTAATGAGGTGGAGTAAAGGGTGGATATGCTTATTCATGATTTGCTTCAATTAGGAATGTGACTAGATCTGCTATGCTATAAGGGTTGGGAATAAAGTTGCTCATTTGATGGTTAAGTTTGGAATTAATAAAAGTGGGTGATGTACTTGGGACGGCGTCCTCCGTCATGGTTGTTGGGCTCTCTAAGGAGTAAGGGTGGTATTGTGTACTATGTTTGACTATGCCTCCGTTTGGAAAGTGGGTTAATTTTTTAATTTTTTGACTTTTTTGGTTATTTTAGCCTGCGCTAAAAAGTTTGGTTTAGGAAGGGCTTTTTGGCTTTTTTGACTTTTTTTGTGAGAGAAGAGTGTAATGATTATGGGTTGGATGTGATGTTTTGTTTTTTGTGACTAAAATAGCCTATTTTGTCTTTTGTGGCTAAAATAGCCAAAAAAGCCCAAAACTCTTCTTGCCAAACGAACCCCTATAATATCTTTGCTATTGTTCTAATCACAAGTACATATATATATATATATATATATTATTTTTATTTTTAGTTATTCTTTGATTTTTTTTTTCAATTTGTAAATTATAAAAAATAATGATGTTTATGATAATGATGGGGCTTGGTGGGTGAATTAGAGTTTTAGAGTGAGGAATAAAATGAAGAGAAAATAATTAAAATTTGATAAAGAAAACAAATATAGTTGAATATGAAGAATATCTATAAATGGGTTGGATGTACCATAAGAAAAGAAATAGTAATATTTTATTTTAAAATTTAATGTGTATTGTCCTTATTAATAAATTTACATTAAGGCATAATAAGAACTCAAATTTTAGCCTGCGTTTGGTTGTGTTTTGTAAATATAATTTGAGAGTATGAGTTGTATTTTAAGTTTGTGGGTTGTAGAATTATGATTTGAGTGTAGAAAATTTGTTTGGTTATGGTTTTTAAATAGAGTGTTGAATTGTGTTTTGAAGATGTATTTTGAATTACGTTTTGAAAGTTTGATATGACATGTGAAATGTGAAAATTTGTTTGGTAATGTGTTTTGAAAATAGTTTTCACAACTTAATTCAACCAATAATTTATCATCAAACACACAACTCATATATCGATATCCATATTTTTTATCAACAATAATAACCAAACTATTTTTAAAATACTGAAATTAAAAATTGATTTTTTTTGTCAATTATTTTTTTTTTGTAATTTTTTTGAATAATTGTTTTTTCGAAATAATTTTTTCATTTTAAAATAAACCTATGTCAATTATTTTCTGCCAATTAATTTTTCTATTAATTCATTTGTAAAATACGTTTTTAATTTTTTTATAACATTTTATTAAAGTCAACAACTTTTGAAAATACATATTAATACAGAAGGAATAAATACACTAAATTTAATATTTTAAAATACAAATCATAACGTAAATCTTACAAAACATTATCAATTTTTTTTCCATTTATTACATGTTATGAATTTCGTCCAGATGTGGCAACAGAAATGCAATACATTATTGTGCCCATTGAGCTCATATAATTGTGGGGATTGACATATAAAATGACTATTATGCCCCTCTTGACTTAAATGGAAAGTGGTTACATAGAAAAAAATATAAAGGGTAAGATAGTAATTTCATTTACTTACTACCTACCCCCTATTGTTTCATAGCTGTGTGTTCAACACTGAGGTAAATAAAAAGGAGAGGCTGCAGCAGTGTACTCAACACACGGATGTGATATATATATAAAAAGTAATAATATTAAAAACAAATAATATTTAACAAATAAAAAGTAAATTAAAAAAAATACAACATGAACCT